GTCAACTTCCTTTCAACAGTCGTGCAGTGTTTAGGTAATTTGAGTCAGGACTTTAAGACTGGATAGCAGTGTTTGTTCAGAAAACGTTTCTCAAAAAAAGCCATGCTAGTAACTGCCCTTCACACTAATACGGCCTTTATTTCCCTGAAAGAATGAAACCATCACTGCTCACTGCCGGCATTAAAAGGTCACTTCTAAAAAAAATCCCAGGTGGTGCAGTGTTTAGCACTATCACCTTACAGCAGGAAAATTGGGCTTTGGTGTGGATCAGTTGATTTCATGGTTTACAAATAAAATGTAGACTATCTAATGGGCAGTAATAACAAACATTTTAATATTTTTTTTGTTTGTTTTTTAGTGAAGTTGTATTCACTCTATGCACATTTTTTCTTTTAGATTGAAGGACTCCCTGGCAATAAATGCTTACATAGAGTAAAACTGGTTTCCTTGATTTCAAACTACGTTGACTGACATCCTGTTAAGGGCCCCTTGGTCTTATTCAATTTTCTTCAACTAATAAGAATGAAACCCAATCTCAGGACAAACATAAGAACAGTGCTTTTGATTTTTAGTTCATTTAACAGCTGCAAGGAGTTCAATGTCAAAGGCATAAGTAGCCTTAAATGTACTATTGGAAGAGTCTTTCAAAGGACTATCGGGGGGAAAAAAATGAATAAACTGTTTACTAATCAATGTTTGATGGAGTAAACCTACCTTAAAATTCCCCAAAACATGGATTTCTCATAATTGTACTTCAGAGATGTTGTGTAGTAGAGTCAGTCAGCACCATCACAATGGGATCCCAGCTCTGTGACCTGTAATCAAAGTCAAATATCTGCAATCACAGTTTTGCAAGTTTGGGAGAAACACATCAAATAAAGAGATAGACTAGATACTTGCTGTCAACACCAAATTCAAATATGCCACAGAAGGGGACAATTTATAGCCGCATAATTACTAGCAGTCACAGGGGGAAATAAAAATACAAAAACTGGCAAGATGGATTTGGTGACTGACTGTTCAACTTGGATTTTTCATATCTTTATGTCTTTTGTTAAGGTGATGAAAGGTCATGGATCAAGTGTAGAAAGCCACTTTGTCTTTCTTTGTCTTTCCTGGAGGAATATCAGCGCACTTCCTCAGGAATCACAAACTTAAAGTGAATTACTGTGAAATGCCAATTATTATTCTTAATTGTGAAACAGTTATACAGGGAGAGAGAGAGAGAGAGAGAGATTACGATGA